CTTGTTGCTAAAGACTATTTCAATGACTTGGAAAAGATGGGGAAAATGGCCATTGAGACTCAGGGCTCTTTGGAACTCAGAGATGTCCTCTTCCAGATGACTGAAGTCCAGAACCAGCTGGATGACATGCAGCAGCCTTTTCACAGTAAGCTGCTTGTACAGCTGGAGCAGAAGGGAGAGCTAGCTGAATACTGGTACCTGGGAGCTGCCTGGGAGAAATCCCAGCTAGAACAGAGGAGCAAAGAAAATGCCCTGGACAAGAGCTGGCAGCAGCTGAAGAAGCTCCCCAAGAACAGCCAAGTACATCGACAATGCTCTGTATTCTTCAGTATCAAATATTTAACTAAGATTTAATTCCTTATGTAAAAGTAAATATGCAAATACAAGCAAACACATATTTATCTTTTATAAATGCTAAAATCATAAGCATAGCAAAGAATTGTTTTAAATTTATGATTTATTATCAGTAAATGTTTGACTTATATGTCTGTTTTATCTCTAAATACCTGGGTTCACATTGAGAGGACCAGGCCTGACCCCCTCCCCACAGAAATCATCAGTCCTGGGCTATAGGTCACCAGTTCTAGGAACAAGACCATAAAATCCCCTACCCAAGGGGATTAAATAAGCATTAACCTGGCAATAACCACAAAAATGGGAAGGTATCTTATTTTAGGGTGGAGCATCTGTGCTGGGCAGCCTTATCTTCAGGAATGCAGCCCACTGACCACATGGATGCAAGCCAGTCAGGAGTTGACCCTTGTAACTTCCCTGGCACCCACCAGTTTGGGCTGGTTTGAACCAGTTTAGAAAGTCCCCAACCCCTGATCAGGCCCTCACACTTGTTCCCTTGCTTTTGACCTGCGCCAATCACAGGAAAGATGACCTAACTATCCCTGGAATTCCCGTAGTTTCCTATTAAAAAAAAAAAAAAAAAAAAAAAAAAAAGTCGTGGGCCCCTTTGCCTCGGGTCACCATTCTGCCTTGACGGTGGCCTCAGCATGCTGGTCTTCTGCAGAATAAACGCCTTTTGTTGCTGGCATGCTACTTGAGTCTGGGGTCTGTCTTCCAGCATCTTCTGGACCCTAACAACATAACAACTTTTGGGTAAAGAAGATTTCTACTAGACGATTTTTGGGAGCCTTTGCTCTCTCTTCTCTTTTTATCTCAGAGAAAGGTCCCCTCCTACAGACTTAAGGGAACCACACATCTATATTCTAACCCTGTCTGACAGATGAGCCTGCTAGCCAAATCTACAGCATCAGCTGTTCTAAATGCTTTCAAAAATCTGGCTATAAATAGTTGAAAAATAATACAGTGTGAAAAATAAAAATTATATGCTGTTATAGTTTTTGTCAACTTAGACACAAACTTAGACATGGACTCTGACCTGTAAAAGTAGCCGAATTGCTTTTGGTCAACACACACACACACACACACACACACGGGGTGAAATTTCCACAGAGGGAGGTTAAGTCTTGCTGGAACACAGCTATGCTTATTTATCTGCAGTGTCCTTGGCTCTATGTTGGCAAAGCAGAATGCACGTGGTAGAGACCGCATGTCATGACAAGTCTCCCACGTCTGCTTGCTGGTCCTTTTCAGGCATTTGCTGCACCCTGTTTTACAGGGATTATGGGTAATTGTATTCTCTGCCCACCCTTTGTTATTATTGTTATTATTATTATTTGTAGAGGTGACCTTCATTCATGTATTAAGGTGTGTCTCTGTATATTCGATTGTTAATTGCTGAAACTGACAGCAAGCTAAATGCTAACAGATTCTGGTATTGTCATTGCTATTGAGGAATCTCCTATCTCAGTACTGTGCAAAAATTACTCCCCAGTTATCTCCAATTGGTTAATAAAGGAGCTGAAGAGTCTATGACTGGGCAGAGGAGACAGAAGGCAGGACTTCTGTTTCCAGTCCGGGGTCCCCAGGAGAAAGGGAGCGAGGGAGAGGAGAGAAGAAGGTCATGATGTGAGGAGGAGTTTACCATGGGGGAGTCACCATGGGGACAAAGATGGAACAGGAATGGCCAGGGCAAGACTAGAGGACAGGAAATAAAATTGTGAGCTGTTAGGAGCATCATCCATAATTATTTTGTCATTCCATTTTATCCTTTAGAAATATACCTTTAAGGCTCATAAAGCACACATCTGATCTGACTTTCCTTTCCTCATTTTTGCAATACCATAAAACATTTCCATAGAAAAGACACACATAAAAGAAACTGCCCTCTTTCAAACATTGTTTTAACAACTTTCACTAATGCAAATTTCTTTTTTTATTTCACAGTTTCACAGAAATCCAAATCTATGTTGTTGTTTTTTTTTTTTTTTTTCAATTTCAAATATTGGTGGTACTGATTCCAAATAAGACTTGAGGGAGTTTTCAACAAAAGTTCTACCAGTACTCATGAATATAGAGGGCATATTGTTTTGTTTTGGTTTTGGTTATTTGAGACAGGGTTTCTCGTGTAGCCTTGGCTGTCCTGGGCTCGTTTTGTAGACCAGGCTGGCCTGGAACTCACAGAGATCCACCTGCCTCTGCCTCCCTGAGTGCTGAGATTACAGGTGTGTGCCACGGAGTCTCGCTTGTAGTGGGTATTGAAATGGTGTAATTAAAGCCTTATTTTCCTTTTCCTCATTCATCAAATGAACATTTGAATCCAAAATATGCTGTGTTTGTGATTTGTTCAGTTACCACACTTTGTTGTTTTCCCCATGACATCATTAACCTGTACATTGTGAAATTCTGGTGCACTGACAAAGGTTTGATTCCTGTGGTCAGTCCGTCTGTCCTCTCAGCTGCGTCAAACCTGCTTCCATTACAGGTCAGCCACACTGATCCCTTGCATAACCCCAAGGGTAGCCAGCAACTACCTCGAGTAGAGAGGCCAATGTGTGACTGCTCATTTGGAATTCAGCCCTGAAATACATCTTGTTGTTTAGTGAGAGCGGCGTTCCATGCCTGTGACGTGCTGTTTTTGTTTGTTTGTTTGTTTGAGGATAGAGGTGGGTCAGCGGTTAAGAGCACTTGCTTCTCTTCCAGAGGACCCAGCACACAAATAAGGCAGTTACACCTGTAACTCTGGTTCTAGGGACGACAGCTTTCCCTCCTAGCCTCCCCACAAACCAACATGCATGTTTTCATAAATATACACATAAATTAAAAAATCAAATGAATCTTTGAAAAGATGAACATGATTTACAGGGAGGCTGAAGCAGAGTGGGAAGGTGTAGCCAGGAGTCACATGAAGCCCAAGAATCTTCCAACTGAGTAGGCTACAGCTAATGAGGATTTAATCACTCCTGTGAACCAGTTTCCTTAAGTATTATTTTTATTTATGTGGTGTGTGTACTCCCGGAAGGTATGTGCAGATGCCTGTCGAAGCCAGAAGGGGAAGTTGGATCCACCAGAGCTGGACTGGGGAGCCACCAGATGTGGGTCCTGGGAACTGAATTCCAGACCTCTGCAAGAGCAGTGTTTTAGTTTCGTTCTGTTGCTGCAACAAAATATTCTGATGAGCAGCAACTTGGGGAGGAAAGGGTTTATTTGGCATACACTTCCAGGTTGAGGGAAGTGAAGACAGGCACTCAAGGCAGGAGCCAGAGAAGAGCACAGGTCACTGCCTCACTCTCTGGGTTGAGCCCTGAATCTGCGCTGAGCTAGCTTCATGCAACCCAGGAAGACCTGCCCAAGGAATGATGCCACCCACAGTGGGCTGGGTCTTCCAACAAGTCGTTGCCACACAGACCCAGATCCGCTCAGACCAACCGGATCTAGGAAATTCCTCTACTGAGGCTTGTCTCGCGATTCAAGGCTGAGTCAAGTAGATAAGCAGCAAGACTTCTTCACCTCTGCACCATCACTCCAGTGCCACTTTCAGCTGCCAAGTAAAGCGTCAGAGGAACAGTTCGCTGGGAACCAAAACCAAACCAAACAAACAAAAAAACTAGGGAGGCTGCCTTGTACAGCAGTTTAATAAACTGGGTGCCTTTTCCATAATGTTCTTGGGGATGGATTTCCTTGGGGGAGAACAACTGGAATTTAAAGCAACGCTAAACCAACGAACAGAAAAGCAAATAAAACCTGATGGGCTAGGGATGTACCTCTGTTGGTAGAGCGCTCGCCTAGCAAGCAAGAAGCCCTGGGTTTGATCCCAACCTCCGCATAAAACCAAGCCCGTGGTACACACCTGTAGTCCCTGCACTTGGAAGGTGGAGGTAACAACAGCAAGTTCTTAGCCACATAGCAAGTTAGCCTGGGCGATGTGAGACCATGTCCCTAAACAGATAGACAGACAGATGATAGATAGATGGATGGATGGATGGATGGATGGATGGATGGATGGATAGATGGCTGGCTGGCTAGATAATTTAAAAAGCTGGCCGTAAGTGATTTTATATTTCACCACTACCATTCTAGTATTTTTCATTTACCGCCAAGTTAAAGCCACAGCCTCCGGGGCTGGATAACGCTGGGAGACCTCAAGGTGAGTCCTCCCTGAGGCTGCCAGCAGCCCCCAGGGTCTGCCAACCTGGCAGCCCGCGTGGATGGGCAGACTTCCCGTTTCCCCGGCTGGGCTTCGGGAGGGAGGGGCAGAGGAGCCTGGGTGGGGGAGGGGCCTCGGGAGGGAGGGGCCTCGGGAAAGGAGGGCCCGAGGGCCGGACCCAAGCAACGACCTTAAAAAGTGTCTGTGTGCCGCGGCCGCCCGCGGAGCGCGGGCGCTGGAGTGCGAGCCGGACGCAACCGGGCGCGGCGGTGAGGCGGCCGGAGCAGGAGGGAGCGGGAGGCCGGGCTCGGGAACGCGTCCTGACGGTCCCCGCCCTGCCGCACACGTGCTGCGGCACCCGCGCGCGCCCGCCTCGCGGCCGGGTCCCGGGAGGCGCAGGGATCGGGCGGGCTCGGTGCCCGGCGGTGCCGCGCTGGCTGCGCGCTGCAAGGGGGAGGGGGATCCCCGGGTCAGGCCGGGTGACTCGCTCCGCAGCTGCAGCCGCAGTAGTTGGCACCCTGGCGCCTGGAGCTCGCCGAAGGGGCTCCATGGTGGTGGCATGCGGCCTTCTGTTGCCCAGCTGCGGGGAAGTGCAGCCTCACCCGGTTCGACCCCCGGTGAAGTTATTTCCCCCTAGGAACCAGTATTCGGGTTGGCGCTGTTTCTGGGACTACTGGGTAGTTTGAAGGAAGAGGGTGGGAAGCTGAAAGGATTCGGGTGTCCTACTCCAAATGGTACACAGCAAGCTCCGAAGGCAGTTTAAATTCCTGCGGAACACTGGTTTGTGCACGTCCTGCATTCTCTCCAACCCACAGTTCATACTCAGTTAACTGCATACTTTCAGGGCTCATGTGTTAGGAGCATTTCTGTCTTCTGCGATTTGGCAGACATCCCTGAGAAGGAGACTTAAGTGGTAGAATGCTTGGCCAGTATGATGGAAGTCATGCTTAATCCCCAGCACGGGGAAACGGTTTTACATATACTAGTCCGCTTCTGAAGTTAGGGTTATTTCCTCCCTTCCCTTCTCTACTTCTAACCCCTTGCGTGTAACTCTCCCACTCAGATCCATGACCTCTTTTTCTTAATTGTTATGACACAGGAACACACACACACACACACACACACACACAGTCTTAAATATTTAAATACAAACCTCTCAGTCCATATAATGCTACTTGTATGTCTATGGTGAGTAACCAGTTGGCTTCCCTGGGGAAGACTGTTCTTCCCCTCGAGCATTTGTTAGTTGACTGTAGTTCTTTGTCAGAGGGACCCCCTGGGATTTCCTCTGTCCATGTTAGTGTGTCTACTGGTATCATCGTCGCGGGGATCTTGTTCCCAAGTTGATGAGACTTCATGGTATAGCCTTTCTGACATTTCTAGGAGACTCAGATTCACAGCAGTCTTACTGTTCCTTTGGCTCTTGGGGGAAAAAAATTAAAGATTAATCCTGCATGTTATTTTTCTAGGATTTGAAGTGATTACATTTGGCTTATGCGAAGGGGTTGAATCTACAGTGACTGCATAATTAGATACGCTTTTCATGCCCTCCCAAGTTAGTAAAGAATCATTCATGTGAAAAGAAATGAGTGCATTGAAGTTTATCTGAGGCCAGTGTGAGAGCCGTCTGTGCAGCTTGTCTCTTACTTTCCCTGAACAAATGTAGGCATGGGTGTTTCTGTAACTTCCAGGTTGCTAGATTTAAAGGAAACTTTTTTTTTTAAAAGAAAGAGTCTTGGAATATGGTCATTGACAATATTTATTTTACAAATTCTTGGTTGTTGCTGTTATTTTTCTTGACTTTTAGGATGGCTTTTGTGTTTGAAAGAACCTTAACAGACCAACCTCTCAGGGTGATGAGGAATGAAATTGTCCTGTTATATGGAACCAACTCTGTATTTTGAGAACAAACAGAATAGTTTGAGTAATCAGTAACTTTGATCTTATTTGTTCAGGAATCCTCCCTGTTTCCTAGTTACTATTAAGTTCAAGTCTCACCAAGTTTGTTTTTTTGTTTTTTGTTTTGTCTAAAGGTAGAGGGAAACTTTGTTTCCCCAAGCTCTAGACTTCAAAACAAACATTTCAAGTTTGACTATCTGGGACATAGCCCTGGGATTCTGATCAGGCAAAATCGGAACCGTGGTCCAGAGGTTGCACTATGTGTCTGGCTCACATTACCCACCTTACCTGGGAGCTTAGGCTGTGAAATCTCTGGTCCTCCTTGAGGCCTGTTGAGTCAGAATCTGAATTGTAGCAAGACCTGAGGGAAATCTACACATTTACTGCTGAGGTGAGATGGATTAGTGGTGACAAGGAAGGGTTAGGGCTCTACTGTGGGCCTTGTGGCATTTATGATGGCCTGTTTATGGTACTTCTATAATCCCCCTTGTCTAGATGAAGCCCTCCTGTTTACAAGCCAGGTAACTCAATGGAACTCCAAGGCTCTGACACCCAGCATGGAAGGCTGCTGTCTGAACTTACTGCTGAGCTTGATAGAATGGGCTTTCACCATAGGCCTCTCAAACACTAGTCTGGTGTAGTCTGGGCCATTTGTGATTGGTTGCTTATTTGGTGTGGTGGAGGTTCTCATAACGATTGGTTGAAGTGTGGTAGGGGCTATAACCCTGATATTCAGGGGAGGATTTTGGTGTGAGCTGTTTAAGGGGAAGTAGTTCATTTACCTGTGTTGATACATTGTTTTCCCATTCCTGGTTGTTAAGGTCCAGTCCCTGGAAGTTAAAGTTCAGTAACACAGCAGGCTTAGAGAATGGGGAATTGCAGAGGCTGGACTAACTGAATTTTTGCCTCTTCCCAGGGGTATGTGGTACACATCCTTCGCTCTAGAGAATTACTTTCCACAGAACCCAGTAACACCATGAAGTCCAATCCTGTCATCCAAGCTGCCATTGACCTCACGGCAGGGGCCGCAGGTAATCCTGGGAAGGAGGGGGGAGGAGATACCCTTCCCCTGTATTCCTGAAGTAGTTCCTCAGAGTGAGTTGAAAATGTAGTCTTTTTATACTTTAACTTCAGAATGACTCAATCTAATGGAAATGTGATATTGTTCTAGATCTTTTGTAGTACAAAATGCCAGCTACTGGCTTTTTGTTCTTAAGATTTATTTTTATTCATGTGTATGTGTGTGTCTATGTGAGTATCTGCCACACGTGAGCAGGTGCCTGAGGTGGATGAAAGGGGGTGTCAGATCCTCTGGAGCTGGAGTCACAGGTAGTCGTGGGCTACCCATGTGGGTACTGGGAACCAAAGTTGGTCCCTTTAGAAGTACTCTCCAGTCCCCTGTGACTGTTCTTATTGGTGCTAGGAAGAAAGGAAGGCCTCCTGTGAAAGTGTTATCCTTTATTCTTTCTCCTGTGTAATTGTAGTCTCTGCTTTCATACAATCTAATCTAGGCCTAGAATGCTTTCAACCTCCGGGACTTACTGCTGAACAAGCTCACCCTTTCTAGTTCTTTCTGAACTCTAGCTAGCTGGTTCAACTCAGCTGTTCTGGCTCAAACTCCTTTCCAAGCTGATTGATTCAAACTTGCTTCTCTCAGTTCTGACTGAATTGCTCTGCTTGGCCTCATACTAACTTTGGCAATCTGTTCTAATGTTCTGGCTCCTTCTCATTCTCTGGCTCATTCTGTCTTCACCTGTGTCTAGAATGCTCTCTCTCTGCAACCTGTCTTCTTTAAAACTGTCCTGATAAAACTGCCTCTCTTCTGGTGAGAGTTGGGTGTATCCCATCTTGACTCATTCATTCTGTCAAACCTTTCTCTGATTCAACATTTTGTCTGCCTCTCAATTAGATGTCACTTTCAATCATGGGTGCTCTCTTCTAAAAACTAACCTTACCTTCATTGTTTGGGATTAAAGGTGTGTGCTAAGGGTCTGCATTCCAGCCACCTAGATTTTCCTATGAGATCCTTTGCCACAGCAGCCATGTTTCTAGATTAAAACTCCTCTGCAGCCCCCTTTAACAGTGAGGCTGATATTCCACAGTGTCTCCTGGTGTGGATAGGAAGATGATGAACAGGCATTTGAGGCTGACCCTGAGCCTAAGGGCAGACTGGAGCCAGGGCTGGTAGAAAGACCATCTTAAACATGCAGAGTTAGGGAAAGCTTAGCCTGGGGCAAAAAAAACTGGGTGCTCGTGATAGTATTTTTTTTTTTCCCAGAGTCCTGTGTCATCTTAGGGACAATAGCACGCTGGAAGGTACATGTTTACCAAGTGAACCTTTGGTCTGCCCTAGCCCTGTCCCCTATCAATTCCTGTAAAGCCCACATTGCTCGATGTTCTCTTCTCTAGTATGACCTCTTGGGTCAACAGATCAAGTGGGGTCAGGGGACTATCTCACTCTCACTTGGTCTTTTGTCTGGTTGTAAAAAAATCCTTGTACAGACAGCAATTTCCCTCACTTATGCCTCCCCTAACTCTTCCATACCAACCCCCTCCTTTCATGAGCCAAAGGTCAGCTAGAGCTGCCTCAAGAGGAAGGCTGATAAGGATCCCTGGGCAACGGCACCTCTCCAGGTTAGAGACAAGGAATGTTCCAGTCTGATGTGCAGGCCCAACATCTAGCAACATTGGACCCCAATGTGTTACTAAGGACTCTGGGTCTTCAGGGTCAGTCCCCTCTACTCTGTGGCAGAGAGGAGGACACCATCCCTTGGACCCCGTTCCCTCCCCTTGGTCCTCATGCCACACTGTGGAGGATGCTGGCTGGAAATGGCAAAAGCCCCCACCAGCTCTGTCCTTTAGAGACTGTGGGTGCAGACAGGCCCTGCTCCTGTAGTGATGTGGTATATAGTCTCTTGAGAGAGTCACACCTGCAGGCATTGTATGCTCTTGTCAGTCTAAGAACAGACTTTACAGTAATGATTTTTTTTAAAAGCTTACCCCTTGCTATGTGCATTCAGGCTTTTAAGTAGCACGTACAGGCTATAGTTTTTATGCAAATTGTGATAATACTGTTGGAAGCCTTTTACAGAAGACAATTTCTGCTGGGCTTTTCTTTTTTTAAAGGATGATAAGGTATCTAAAATATTGATATTAGATGGTTCTCCTGCCCCCAAAAGCTTCTGGGGTTTTGTAATTTCTGGGCACAGCAAGTTTCTTGGTAGAGGAGCTTTGGGTGGGAGAGGGGGGTGGTCAGAGGAGGTGCTCATTATCAACACTGGACAGAGCATTCTATTGTCTGGAGGAGACTGTCTGTGAGGGGAGAAACAGTCTCACTTTTAATGGTCCCAAAGTCCGGTTGATATATTGGTCTTACGTAACTATGGGGAGCCATGTTCACTGTCTATGTAGAAACCCCCAGATCTTGGCTCCTTGTCTTCTTGTCATCTTTGTTGTAGAATGCCTCACAGGGCAGCAGCCTTCTCTGAAGTAAGAGGTGGTTGGGACTCTTTGCTACCCTGACTCTCTGGACTGGCAAATACCTAGGGTTTGGGATTATTCCGTTTGGTGCAGAGAATCCCTAGTGTTCCTTGACCCCCCTTCATTGGTGCAGGTGATTTATCTGTTAGTACAGATTCAGCTGTGGTTGAGGCTTGTGATGGGATGTAAATGTTAATAGAAATATTTCTGTCTCTTTCTGATTCTAAGCAAAGCTGCTTCCCAGCCACATTGTTTCTGTTAAAGTGCCAAGAAGTTGTCCTGGGTCTGAGCTGAACGTGCTGTAGGTCAGGAAAGGAGGCCTGGGCAGCTAGGATGAGATGGAAGACAAGGTCATGTGGATCACTAAAGGTGGATCTTGGAAGTCTGCGAAGTGCTTTGAGTTCACTTAGTATCTCCCTCATGTCAGGAAGAAGCAATCTCCAGCACTTCCTGTAGTGTGCCTCATTACCTGGCATACTGGCTGGGAAAGGAGGACATTTATAGCCTTGAGGTTTGTCTGCAGAGTGTCAAAATGACAAGCACCTCAAAACTGCTTTTTTGTTTGTTTGTTTGTTTTGAGACAAGGTTTCTGTGTGTAGCCTTGGCTGTCCTGGAACTCACTTTGTAGACCAGGCTGGCCTTGAACTCAGAGATCCACCAGCTTCTGCCTGCTAAGAGCTGGGATTAAAGGCTTGTGCTACCATGCCCAGCCTCAAAAACTATTTTGAAGGGATACCTTAAAAATGTCACATGTCCCAGTCCTGTAAAGTGGCACTTCTGCTTGGGGGGCTGGAGGCTCACCTGTTTGTCCTGCTGTAAGCCATCCTTTCCCTGATAAATGGCTGCGATACCTTGTCATTTGCTGCTTGTGTGCTGAATGACTCTGTTAGACAGACTTTGTCGCTATGATAAAACATCTAAAGAAATCAACCTATGGGAGGGAGGATTTATTGATTTATTTTGGCCCATAGTTTCAGAGGTTTTACTCCATTGTGGTGGGAGCGGGGTGGTAGGCCAGAGCAGCTCACTTCATGGCAGCCAGAAAGCACACACCTCTATACATACACATGAACACGTGCATACAGAGAGGGAGGGAGGGAAGAAGGGAGGAAGGAAGGGGAGACAGACAGATATGAGAGGGAACGGAGTGGAGAGAGGAGAGACAGAGGGGAGAAAGTTGGGGGGAGGGAAAGATAGAGAAAGGAGAGGGAGGGGAGAAAAGAGAGAAGAAGAAGGGTGAAAAGAAAAAGAGAGGAGAGGGAGAGAAAGACAGACCGACATACCCAGAGGCCTGCCTTTGCTTTTTCATTCCTCTTAATATTTTTATTATATCTGGGCCCCAGCCTGTGGTGCTTTGGATTGGGCTTTCCTTCCTTCATTAATGCTCTCTGGAAAGTCAGTCGTCCACAGAGGTCTGCTTTATTCGTCTTTTAGGTGCCTCTCAAGGCAATCAAGCTGACAGAATTAGCCACCCCAGTGACTATCAGTTAAATGTTGAGCATGGTGTGGTCTCAGTACTCACCCAAAGAGTGAGTGGCAGGAGCTGACAGTGACAGAAGCTCTTTCATTTGTCCTTTAAGGAGAAAACAGTGAGCAGAAATATGACTTCTGCGGAGAAACTGCCAACGTACTTGTGTTCCTGATATAAATCTGAGAATTGGCTTGGTCCTGTGCTTGCTGGCTAAGACTGGGGTTAGGCACTGGACACAGTTCTGTGGTGAACAGCATTGGGATTTAGCTTCACTTTCATGGGGTGGGGCAGTGAAGTTGTTTCATTATATCTATAACATTCACTAGCCTCTTACCTTCTAGAATGGACACAGAACCATCACAGATATGAAGCAAGTATGTGTCATAGTAACTGCTGTCTGTAAATTCAGGATGAGTGAGTTATCGTGCATTTAGTTCAAATGTTAATGTCCTGAACTGTAGGCTTCATTCATTTTTATCAAAAATATGCACTCTAAAAATCCTAACAGTCACGCAGTCTTTTGGAATAATTAAATTATTTTGCTATATTTGGGACCCCATGACCTAGCCCAGCAGTATGTAGGACAGAACAGTTCTGATTATGCAAAAAATTATCTTAACCTGTTGTTGTTGCTCTAGTCTCACTAAGTAGCCCAGGCTAGCCTGGAACTTTTAGTCTTCCTGCTTCCACCTCCTGAGCACTGGTATTGCAGGCATTCGCTGTTTACTCAGCTGTAGCATCTTAGTGAATTATAGTCCAAGGAGTCTGAGGAGTGGATCGTCAGGTCAAACCATACCGTTCTCTCCTGGAAGAAGCAAACAGTAGGAGGGAAGTTACGGGAATCATTTTGATTGTTCAGTAATAAAGCCAGATGCTGTGGAAGTAACACCTTGCCTGTCGGTAAGTAAGTGACTCATTCTCAGTGCCTTGCGTCTCTCCTTCCCGCCACACAGGCGGATTAAACATGTATAGCATCAGAGCTGTAAAGTTGTGAGCCTTCCATTTTGGTAGCGTTTTAGTGGCCTCATCACAGAGCTGTGATGTTTCCTGATCTAAGCAGGAGTGTCTGAAATGTGAGGCCTTCCAGGCCCCAGGAAGGAGGTAAATATTAACCAGCAGCATGTCCCAAAACTTTGGTCCTAGTCCAGGGTCTACAGATATTGTGGGGCAATCACAGTTTGCTCTTATCCTTATGTTCAGAATTCTTTCTGGAGTAATCTAACTTAGTATAGTTGGTATTCTAATAGTGTGAAAACAGATACAAGGCAGACTTCAGTCCGTTTATACTAAGCTGAGGTAATTGTAGCCTATTCCCTAGCTAGGTATAAATCGCTAAGCGATAGAGTTAAAACTAAACCGCTTTTTTCAGGGTCAAATGTTTTGTCCTCAGGAGATTAACTAGCAGGCTCTTGTCCTTATCTGGCACCTGGCTTTTTCTAATAGTTGCCTCACACTAGGGCATTAGAGAAAAAGAAATGCCTGTCTCTACCACCGTACCCACTGTCCCTTCTGTATGGCTTCTCTCTCTCCCTCTCTCTCTCTTGTGTCTAGTGGTTGTTGTGTGCCAGGTTTGTGCCAAACCCAGTTTGTGTTAACGATGTGCTAACCCTGTGAGATGCCGTAGATGAAGAAGAGAGGTACCGTCCCTGTCTGGGATGGCACAGTCAAACCAGGTTCCAGCCCCTCTCTCTCCACTCCTGGCCGAGCCCTGAACGTAGGCTGTGTATCTTTGTACGGGCTTGGAATGTAGAAACCAAACATCTCTCTGAGTGAGTGTGGATAGCGTTAGGATGGGCCTCTGGTGCTGGCCAGCACAGGCACCTGCTGGAAGCTGTTTGCTGAACTTGGCTAGAGGATTTGGGAAAGGCGGTCATTAGGAACTAAAACCCTGGTAATGGACAGCGAGCCACTGGCCTCCCTGTCCGTGGCTGCAGACTCATTCTAAAGACTCATGTCCTACCTGTAGGAGGCACAGCATGTGTACTGACTGGGCAGCCCTTTGACACGATGAAGGTGAAGATGCAGACGTTTCCAGACCTCTACCGGGGCCTCACCGACTGCTGCCTGAAGACCTACTCCCAGGTGGGCTTCCGCGGCTTCTACAAGGGCACCAGCCCTGCACTGATTGCCAATATTGCAGAGAACTCGGTGCTCTTCATGTGTTACGGCTTCTGCCAGCAGGTGGTCCGCAAAGTGGTTGGATTGGACAGGCAGGCAAAACTGAGGTGAGTCAGGACACTGGCGCTCCGTTGTCTGAATGACGTTAATAGGAAATGGCTTTCCTTTTTAAAAATGATTCTGATGTCCTCCACTGTCGCGGCGTGAAACAGAGAAGGCCAAATGCATTAAGAGTCCTGTGTGTGCTATGGGAAGGTGACAGGCGTGCTGGACGAGAATTGCAGAACATGGGACTTAAGCTTTCACTTCTCTTTCACCTGCAGAGATTATTGGAAGGAAGACGTTACCTGAGTGGTGTTAGACAAGAAATCTGGATAATTTAGGAAGCTACAGATGGACCCAGCTTTCCTTGGTTGATCCTTCCCTGTTCATCAGACTTCCACTTGTGCTTGACCATTGTGCTTCCATTTGTGCTTTGGTACCTGTCATTCAGAGGCCAAGCAGAATTCATAAACCACTGGAGTGCTCAGTCATGCTTCCTTCAGATGCTGATTTATTTGAAATGATTTTAAAATTATGCCAGGGAGGGTCTGAGGGGAAAAGCTTGATTACTGAAGTGCTTGCAAGGCACTGAGTTAGATCCCCGTCACCTACATGAAAAGCTGGACATGGTACATGCTCATACGCAGTAAAGGGAAGGCAGAGATGAAAAGAGGTCTAGGCCCCAGGTCCAAGTGAGAGATCCTATCTCAAAAAACAGATGTATGGTTTCTAAGAAACCAGTACACACATGCACAGCTGTGAGTGCGCGCGCGCACGCACACACACACACACACACACACACACACACACACACACGCACGCACATACACACATATTCATCTTTGCACGAGACAGGCTTGTTGGCTTTGTCAGTAGGAATTGGAACCTCTGTGGTAGCCTCAGCTTGCACACAGCTAAAGTAGACAGACGTGCGCTCTGGAAGAGATCTACGAGATTCAGATGTGCTGTCTTAGAGGCATGCATCTGCTCATGACGGGTAGACCTTGTGTTTAAAAACTGGGGAGTGGGTAATAAGATAGCCTGGGGCGACAGTGTAGGATTTCTGCTCTCCAGCTGAGAGAGAGCAGGAAGCAGAGCCAAAGGGGACAGAAGAGAGGGCTGAGAGATTAGCACCCCACGGGGGATATCAGATAGGAGCAGAGTAGTAGGCACCTGGCTTTCTGTAGCTGAAGCAGAGATGTTCTCCTTCAGGACATGGGTTCATCTCCCCCAGCTTCTTTAGGGAAGGACAACATGGGAGAAGAGCCGAAGGAACAATAGGTGCTGAGGTAAGGTTCTGGAGAAGACTCTCTGCTCCCCTCTGCGCAGCGTAACCCTGTTTGGCCGTAGGACGGAGGTGGTGACGGGAACAGACTGTTGGGGTTCTGGCCCCACGTGCCCCTCCTCACTTTCCCTGCTTCTTTGCCTATGAACAGAGACAGGTTTGAAAAAAAAAATGCTTTTTCTCATTTGTGTTTTATTTGAGACATGGTCCCGCTGTGTAGCCTGGGCCAATCTGAAACTCATGCATGGTCTTGGCTCAGTCTCCCACAGAGGGATGGCACGTGTGTTGTGAGGCCCACTTAGTGCTTTTCTGATGGCGGGCAGGACAATGCTTTAGGGTTGTCTTTCTCCACACCCTCTCCAGAAGCAAGAGTTGGTGTCACTGTGTTCCTTGTATGGATCCTTGAGTACGTTTGTCACAGATACCCACAGTGTGTAGCTTTTTACCATACGAGTTCTCAGTGAGGAAATTGGCCTGGTTATCTTGTGCTAAAACAGCCCTGGAACTTTTCCTAAGCTTAGAGCCTTTTTCCTTTTCACTCTTGGGAGCAATTTTGCTTTTTACCTGTTGGGTGCACGCTGCCTGTGGTCTGCTATACTCTTGCATGTTGGTTGTGTCTTTATGGCCCTTACCATGACCTTACCATGTGGAGGTGCTGTTGTCTCTGCCTGAAACAGTCATAGTTGCCTGTGTCATCTGAGCCCACAGTTCCCCTTCCACCCCGACCTCTTTCTGTTAGGCCAGCAAGGGTACTAGTCAGACCTAGAGGGCATATTTATCAAGAGCTGCAAAGGGAAGCCGTTATAGCAAGCATTTGCTGTGTATTTCTGCAACCTCATCACGAATATTTGTGTGTCCCGGTTTGAACCTAATGCAGCATCTGCTTTGAACTTTGACCAACTGAGAGCTTACACGGCAGAGGCATTTAGGTCATGATTCTCATTCACTAGATGACAGAGTAGACTCTCTCTCTGAAAATTTCATAGAATATATTTTGATCATATTCCCCCCCCCATCATCCCATATCCTTCCCACCTCTCTACCAACTTTGTAGTTTTTTCTCTTTAAAACAAACCCAAACAAGAAGCATACATACACATAAAGACATGAAAATGGGAATCAAAACAAACAGGCCAATAAGGCAAAGGAAAAACTCCAAACAAAGAGACAAAAAGTACCTACTGTAGATATTTACAAAACCCCGTCCTATCCCATATTCCAGTTGTACAAATTTGCTCTACACCTAGAGCTGAAGGTCTGTGCATCTCATTTTGTGCACTGGAAGATGAAAGAATTTATGAGAGAGCCAAAGTCCATAGACAAGCTGATAAGGCCTCTCCCTTGTCCCCTCATAAGATGTTCTATGTTCATTCCGATTCTGGAACCATCCCAGTACCTGAGGTTGAACTAACCTCTGTGTTTATTGACTGATACCTCTGTTCTAGCAAACTTGGCACATTCTAGGTAATGACCCTAATTGAGTGTTGTCTGTCAGCAGGTTGATAGAGAGTTCCTGAGGAAGGCCAAATATGATTTGTAGGCTGGCCAAAAGGCCATTTGAAGCTTTAGATTTTAACCAGTGAGCTCAGGAGTGATGTGAAGGAGTGAGCTAAACAGCAGGAGACACACTCTGCCTCACAGAAGGCTGTGTATAGGGATGTTGGCATGCCTGCCTTGCCTCGCATGGTTTGTGGAGGTGGGTTTAAGTCCACCTAGCGGACAGCCTTGCTTCTGATAGCAAGCACCATGGTAAGCCTGCCCTCCTGAGACCAGCTCAGCCTGTGGACAGCAGCTTCTGTCTTGATGCACAGAGCGAGACTACCAGAAAATCAGGGCCAAAGTTGGAAGCAAGAAAAGAAGTGTATTTGGCTCAGAGCAGTCTGGGGTACGAGAGCTTGGGGCTGGCATCTGCTTGGCTCTTCTAGGGCGTCTTCTGACTGTGTGGTAGCGTTGTGAATGAAATCATGGTGGGAATGTGTGAGGAGAGCTCGCCACATGTTACAGAAAGCTGTACTCTTACGGGACTACCTGCATCCTCTGAGAGCCTTGTTAGTCCCCTCGAGGATGGCAGCACCTAAACTGCCCCACTTTTTGTTAACTGAAAACTTTTGTCATATAATATATTTTGATCATGTTTTTCCACTCTCCCAATTCTTCCCAGATCCCCCACCTCTCTACCCACCACCTTCCTTTATATCCATTTTCTCTCTCCCCTAAAACAAAACAACACATAGAATAAGAAACACATAACCCCCCCTAAAAAAATGGAAATAAAAAATCAACAAGCAAAAGACCAACAAGGAAAAGAAAATGCCCAAACAAAGCAAAATGAAACAAAAAGTCTACAGAAATGCCACCGATTCATTTTGTGTTGGCCAGCTGCGTCAGGGAGGTGTGGTGAATATACCCTCCTGGCAGAGAGAGCAAGATTATAGGGCATGGATCTCATGATGAAGGTCCTATCATCAAAAACTCACCTATTCCTCATTGTCTCTTAAGGACCCTTTCTTTAAACTTTATCACGCACTGGAAGTCAGGTCCTCAACATATGAATTGGGGGATGGGGACATATGAATTGGGGGGTGTGGCAGTCAGGCATACCTGGACTTGCTTCCTAGCATGCTACTTTCTAGATGTTGTGTGGCTTTGGGGACATATATTACCTCTCAGTGCCATTCCTCTTAGGGGGTACTGCTGTCTGCCACAGGGTCCTGGGATCCTTAGATAGGAGGGCTAGTGTGGATTTCCTTCTCCCATCCCTGTGCTCACTCTGGTGCGGTGAGAGCCAAAGGGGCCAATAAGCTGATGGTAAGTGTTCTCTCTCCTTTCAGTGACCTCCAGAATGCAGCTGCTGGGTCCTTTGCTTCTGCCTTTGCTGCACTGGTTCTCTGCCCCACAGAGCTCGTCAAGTGCCGGCTGCAGACCATGTATGAAATGGAGACGTCAGGAAGGATAGCTGCAAGCCAGAAGTAAGCACTGTTCGTTCTTAGCTGTGAGGCGCCTCGTCTTGGTATAGTGTGCTGTTATCTTATATTGTTAAAAGTAAGTAGCAAATGCAGAAACAGCTTTCCTTAGTCTAAAATATTGCGGCAGGGGATAATTCTCCGAAAAGACTGTTTATCCTGTCGGGACTCATTGCCCACAATAGACGGTGCAGAAATGGAGACACCAGGGAGCCAAATTCCCCCTTTGTCATCCTGGGTACATAAGGCATGACCCTCAGCCATATTTGGGAGACAGCTTTGAACTGAGTCTGAGAGCTGAGCCGAGTGTGTGGGCTTAGATTCTTGGGTAAGTGTTTGATGCCCTTCCTCACATTTCACTTGGGTGTCTACCACAATCTGGTGGCAACCCCTGCCCTTCCCAAGCCTCCACATGTGCTTGCTAAGGGTCCGAGTTCTGAAAACATCCATCAAAAGCCTTGTAAGTAGAGCTGCTCTGTACGATCAAAGCACCACTCAGCGTGGATTCGAAAGCGACCGTCCACTGCAGTGTCTAGAATCGATCCCCCACATTATCCTTATCCTTGACGTATCTGGTTGAAGATCTGGTCAAGGGTGTTGCGACCACCCCAGGTCTGTAGAGCGACTGCTGTCTTCAGTTTCCTCCCTGCTTTTCAGAGCCTAGAGTCTAGTGGTATAACGCTTTAAAGGGTGGTTGGTCAACTGGAATCTACCTCCAGCACTGTGAGTGCACACAGTTCTAGAAACAGTCCGGAAGTGAACGGGCCTTTGTAACTAGTGAGAAACAGTGCCTCGCCAGCACCGCCCCGAGGGCTTGGATGCAGGCTTTGTTATGTTCACGTGTGACAGGAGCAGCGCCGCAGGAGCAGAGCTCTTGGGAGGAACATGCCTGCTCATTGCCATTGTCGTTCTAGGACTTGAGGCCTCACTTCTCCCACTCCCTAAGAACAAAGTGAGCAACTTGGTAGTTACACTGAGCTTATGGCATTCTGCATGTTCTCAGTGTGTAGAAAAGCTACCCGAGGGCAGGTGTGGGCCCAGGGCAGATGTCTGGCCCTGAAGCTGCTCGGGAAGCAGGGCTCATGGGCAAAAAGGAGACACTCTGCACCCCTCTGCTTGAAAGACAAGACACCATTTTGGGTGTCCCTCGAAGCCCAAGGGCTGTCGCTCAACCCTCAAAATTTCTTATCTTGCCTTCATTTCTCTGTAGCAAAGCAAAAAAGAGGTGGCCTCCTGAACAAACTACCCTACAGTGATGTACACAATGACATAGCTGTTGGGTGTCATCTTGACAGAATCTAGACTCACCCAGGAGGCACGTAGGTGGGCCATCTTTATTCAGTCAACTGAGTGTTGTGGGTTATTAATTTTTATTATTGATTTATCTTTTAGTTAAGCAGTGGTTATTCCTAAACCAGCTATATACCCATATCACCACACAGAGACTAGGATTTATTTAATTAACGTAGGGCACAATGCTGGGCAATAGTAATTCTGTCCTAAACCTCCAAGCCCTCATAGTTTCCTACCATTTAGATTTCACCCATTATACTTGCTTTTAGTCATATCTTAGGTCCGGTTCATCTCTCCTCATGGTTCCAAGTCCTCTCCTGCCAATCACTGCTTTCCTATTCCTCTCACTCATTTCCCTCTCCTCCCCTCCAGACCAGGATATCCCACGCTGTTCTCTCTATTGCTCAGCATCTTGACTGGTTGTTTTATTGGCAACACAGAGAACAAATGGTGGCGTGTTTACATAAACTTGAGACAAGCGAAGCTTACAATAAGCATCACAATGCAATGTCTGGATTGAAACCAGATAGTGGGGCAGAGAAATCAGCATTAGAATGAACAAGGGTAAATTGTATACACTCTACAAGAACACTATTCCAACAACTGAAGTAGGGAGACCCACCTACAACAGAGGTGTCACCGTTGCCTGAGCCTGGGTCCTCGCCTGCGTGGAAGGGGGAAGCCCAGCTGGGCAGCAGCTGTCACTGGTCCCTGCGGCCTGACCCGGATGCAGTGTGACCAGCTGCACCAGGCTTCTGCTACCACTGCTTTGCCCCCACCATGGACTGTGAGCCCGAAAGAAACCCCTTCTCCTTTCAGTCTGCCTCTTGTTAGGTATTTTATTACAATGACAAGTAACTAATACACCACAAAGCTTGAGGAGCTGGGGCTCCCGGGGATAAGGCACTGGGAAAGTCTGGAATTGTTACACACCGTCAGCTTTGGATGACTCCTTGTTGTAATTTGCTTTTACTTACTCAGCGTTGAAAAACAGGCAGTAATCCTTTCACACTCAGACGGTGTGTTTGACTGCATACCCTGCGTAGGCCTGGTTCGGCATGCTGGCTCACTGACCAGAAGTGCCAAGAAGTCTAAGAACACCAGGTGTGCTTTGACGGGAAGGGCAGGTCACAGGAACGCTCTGGCACAGGTAGCGGGGTTGGCTGCATACATCGTCCTCCATATAGACATCTCACTGCATGCATGCATCTCCCCACCTCACTGACGGTGCCTCCTGCTTTGTCTTCCCCAGCACAGTCTGGTCGGTTGTGAAAGAAATCTTCAGGAAGGACGGCCCCCTGGGCTTCTACCATGGACTCTCAAGCACTTTACTCCGAGAAGTACCAGGCTACTTCTTCTTCTTCGGTGGCTATGAACTGAGCAGATCATTTTTCGCTTCCGGGAAATCAAAAGATGAACTAGGTAAGTGTACCCACATTGGCAGCATTTGGGTTTAGTAGAATCTGCCTCCAGGGTTTGCTGGTTTCCACGGGTTTGGTGTTCAGTGGGCACCTTTCTGGGAGTCCACCCAGCACTCAGGAGTTTCTAGATGCCGGAAAGTAAGTGGCAGCAGTGTTGGCTGGCACCTTCTCACAAGGAAAACTTCCTAAGGCAAGTCCTGAAGCCTTACACCCCAAACTTCTTCGCTGACATTGGCACTGGCGTTGTTATAGTGTCCCTTTCCCTTCTGAGTGTTAGTCACTGCTCTGGGTCCATTTTAGAGGAAGAATTAAAGCTGTATCAATAACCCCAGGGTAAGTTTTTAAACGAGTTTTCTTTTCTTTTTAGTTGGCTAATTGCCTGTCATTGCAACTACATCTCGATGAGATTGTCTACCAAGCCTTGTCTCTGACATCAAATCACAAACAACATTGTTCCTAAGCTTTTTAAAAAATTCATATCCATTAAATAAGTACTTACTGACATATCTCATGTTCCTTACATTTAGGTGTTTAATGAACAGGTCTTTGCAAGCGGTTGCGGTGAGATGTCCTGTTCAGTAGCATCCCTGGTCATTCTTCAGGTCGCAGCCTTTCTCCACAGAGAAATAAGAACAAACAAACATAGCTTCAGAAGTTGCCAGAATTCCCTGGAGAGACAAAAGCAGCCTTACTTGAGAACCACCACAGTAGATTTTAAGGACATTCAAGACAGCCCCCCGCAAAAGACAAAACAACCCCTCCCCCCGAAAAAACCTTCAAGAAACAAAAAACAAAGCATGTACCATTGAGGAGATTAGCCTCATTTAATGCTGTGCTTAACTTACTGGTTGGACAGCCTAAAATAAATTGTATCCATAAATATTAACTCTTCACCCAAAGTTTTATCTCTACTTTGAAAACCTTAGCTCCAAGGGTAAGGCAGGCAGGTAATGAAGGAACTTGGTCAGTGCTTATTCGTGTCATAAAGAGAACCATTCCCAGTTGCACTCGTTTCATGTCATACATTTTTAAAACATGGCTGCAAATCATGGTGTTTAGGGAGCAGTACAAAGTGATTTTCACAGTAGAGAAAGATTTGGGACTGTAGGGAGTTAAAATTGAGAAAGACGTGGATGGTGTTTCGGTAGCTTGCTTTCTCCATGATGTGAGACCTGTTGGTTATAGGTGGCCCAACTCCAACCCGGAAGACAAGGGTGCGGTGGGGACATACCATCTGAGTGACCAGCTGGTCTTGATGAGGCCCAGGGAGACTGGATTTCTTAGACAGAAACTGGCATTTTCCAAGGAGTCATGCTCCTTGAACTGTTAGCTGTGCTTTTGGAAACACCGTCCAAACAAAGTACTTCTGGCTGCTTTCCCTCCCCAGGCCCTGTTCCGTTGATGCTAAGTGGTGGATTTGGTGGGATTTGCCTCTGGCTTGCTGTATATCCAGTGGATTGTATCAAATCTAGAATTCAAGTTCTTTCTATGACTGGAAAGCAGGCAGGATTCGTCAGAACCTTCCTGAGCATTGTGAAGAATGAAGGTGAGCCTGCCCTGAGGGGAGTGTGTTCACAGTGACTAGTCTCTTGGAAATGGACTCATCCAGGGTTAGTCAGACTATGGCTGCTCCTTTCTCCCTGCCTGTGTCCTTCTCCCAGCACTATGTTCACGTGTGTGGCTTTCCATTTCCAAACCTTTTGCTTTAGCTTATTCAATGTTTAAAGTTCTTTCTCTTAACTTCTGGGCCATGTATCTGGTAGGATTCTTTGTGTTCTAAATACCTTGGGGGGATTTTTAATATACATACTTTGTCTAGAGGGAAGAGTGCTTTAAAGGGAGTAGCGTCACCTCATTTATGTAATCCAAATATGAAAAGACCCCTAACATGATCACTAAGGCTTTAAAAGGAAATATTGGGTACATTATATTCCTATTACATCACGTTTAAAAGAATGTACTACAACATCTTTGTCAACAGACTTCTGGAAAGAGAAAGTATCTGAGCAGTTTTTAAAGATGATTTGCTGTCAGTTTTTAGAGTTATTCTAGATGATGCAGACTTCTTAAGTCATGTTCATATCACGTCAACTTTGTGCAACCCAAAGACCTGTCTTTCTGCCATCCACCCTATAGACATATTAAAACTAGGGTTGTGAGGGCTGGTGAGATGGCTCAGCGGTTAAGAGCGTCGGCTGTTTTTCCAGAGGTCCTGAGTTCAATTCCCAGAAAACCACATGGTGGCTCGTGACCATCTATACAGGGATCTGATGCCCTCTTCTGGCCTGCAGGTATGCATAGAGCACTCCTGCATTTACAACAAAAACAAAACAAAACAAAACAAAATGATCGGGTGTATGGAAAGGTTTAAATGGAAGAAAGGGTAGAGTTAAATGATAAAATTATACTGTAATAAAAAAACTAATATAAAAAGAGAAGTAAATGAAGTATATGGTCAAAAACATCATTACTTGAAAAACAAAACAACAACAAAAATTCCTTGGATCATGAACTCGTGCACTAGGGTTAAAGAGAGAAAGCACAGTGACGCAGACACATGCTTAACTCGTGTCCCAAACAGAACGCACATGTCCTACTCCTGCATGCCTTCTCCAGTTTTGCCTGGCTCACCTTAGCTCGGTCCCTCACCCAGGTCTCTTCTCATGACCGTGCTGAGTAGGCGAGTACCAAGAACATCTCTGGGTTCTCTCGCTGGCCTCTCCAGCTCTTCAGTTGCCTCCATCTGGCCACCCTAGGCCTTAGCTCTGCCCTGTCCATTCTGCAGGAGTCCTCAGGCATAGAAATCACATCTGTGAGCTTTGCCAGGGGCCTCGGTACTTACCTTGTTTCTGTAGCCTGTTGAGGGGAACCTGTGAACGAGTCCATTTGCCTCGTAGGTTTTAGTACTGTTGTCTAATCTTGTGGGCACAGATAGTCTCTTCTGTGCATCTGCATGTGTGTCTTCAAGGAAGTACTGTCACAATCTTAGATTGCCTTTTGTCTTCCAGGAATAACAGCCTTGTATTCTGGACTGAAACCTACTATGATTCGAGCATTTCCTGCCAATGGGGCATTATTTTTGGCCTATGAATATAGCAGGAAGTTGATGATGAGTCAGTTGGACGCATACTGACGTGCCCTGGTGAGCCCGGACTCAAGGCAGGCATTTAGTGACTGTTGTCAACTCAGGGTTTCGCAGAGGACGAGAATAATGTGGAATTATTGTTGATTAATTGGGACTTTTGTCCTTCTCTTCCCTTCTTCTAGTCAAAGTCTTAAGAGACTTTGTGGGAGGCCCCTCTATCCTATACCGTATAATTTCTGCCTGTCATTGTACCAAAAGAGAAAAGTCGCCATTCTTGCCCTTGGTGGCTCTGTGCACCAGCCTTGTGCAGACTGTCTTCCTCCCAGGATGGAACTCCTGTGGAAGTCAGAGGTACGCGTGCAGTTTAGATGCTTCTGTGTTGAGGAAAACACAGTTTTGTTCTATGTTTAATTGTAAATGGTGACCATTTTTATGCAGATGTTTATAAGTGATTGCTTAACACGTCCTAGACAGGGCCACTGCCATAGTCTGCTGAGCCTGTGTGCTAAGAGGCTAAAGTTTTAACTTTTTGTGCTACATTAAAGCTAACACATCCATCTATATTTTTAGATAAATTTTATGCACCCTTGTGTGGCGTCTACATTCATGATGCTCAGCTCCTAACAGTGCCATTCATTTTCCAGGCGGGCTCGTCATTTTGCACTCTGGTGCTGGTGGGTGTGGTCCAGAGTGTGAGAGGGCAGCAGCGTGCCCCCACCTTTCCTTCTCCCTGGAAGAGCTGCCTCCCTTGTCGGTAGACAAGGGCTGCCCTGCCATGCTCTCACAAAACCCAGCAGAGGTTCTTATCTGGATTCAACAGGAATCCAGGCTACTCTTTTGATCCTTGATCTGGGGCTAACCTGAACCCACTGTCTCTCTGCCTCCATCAATCAGAGGCCCTTCCAGGAGGCAGAGAGGAAGTCTGGGCTTCCTGCCTTTATTGTGGAGTCCCCCTCACAGGGAAGTCCAGTGGCGCTCGCTAGTTCGGCACGGCAGCATAACCATATCAGCTCACTCTCCTGAAGTTCACCTTGGGGTTCATAACGCCTTGATTTGCCTCTGTATTTGGAGCTGGCGGTGTGTGAATTTTAATGAATGTCGATGATGTGTAACTTTGGAAAGCATTGTGACAAATAACAAAAACCTTTTTCTTAAACTAAGTAGTATGTATGTGGCAGTCAGAAACTCGGCCCCACATTTCTTCTCACCCCGAGACACACGCAATAGATAATTCTTTGGCCACAGGGTCTAAGAGGGTCTCATCACTGCAGAGATCAAACCCAATGTCTGTACTACTCCAAGACCAGGGGGAAGACAATAGGGTTTGTGCCTACTCTGCCTATAAACCTGAAGGAATGCCCCCTTGCCACGGTGCCACGAGCACAAGGGTCAGGAAAGCAAAGTATTCCCAGAAAGGGAGGAGTGCCTGTCAGCATCCCTTGACTGGCTCTTGGTGAGAAAGCTGTCTTTCTAAGTTAGTTTTACCTGTTCTTGCGTGGCCGGTGTCTACTGACTGATGCTTCATCTGAAGAGGTCTGGATTGAAGCAAAAGTAGGATTGGTTTCCTGCAGGAAGAGGACAGGCCAGAGCCACAGTTTTCTCTTTTGGTGCTTGGGATCCAGTTCATATTAACCTGGTTGGTTGTGGGTCTCCTCACAGTCTGTCCTTTATGGCCTCTTCTATAGCTATAGTCAGAAACAAGGGAAAGTGAAAAACAGAGGCCAAAGGGGGAAAAAAAATAGTTTTTTAATTATTATTCTGTTGGTTTGATTTGTGACTTAATGTTTGGGCACACACAATTATACTTGAGACAAAACCAGAACTTTGAGATATTTTGTTTAGAGAAATGAGTGCTCTGTCATTATTAAATAAGCCTAATGTGAGTCTATGGATGAGCTTCATTTAAATACATTATAATAAGGACCAATAGGAATATAATATTTCAAGGTGGTGGTTGCATTGGAACAAGTATCCTTTTGTCAGCAAGATCCCTGATGTAAAATAATTTTACTGTAGGCAAGCTGACAAAAAAAACGTTACTTGTGTATTCCATGGGTATGAAGCAGCCCATTAGAACTGTTCTGCCCCTCTGCGTCATGGCAGTTGGAGTGAGAATGGCTCATAGGCTCATGTATTTGGATGCCTAGTCACCAGGGAGTGGAACTGTTTGATAGGATTAGAAGGATTAGGAGGTGTGGCCTTGTTGGAGGAAGTGTGTCACTGGGGGTGATCTTTGAGGCTCCAAAAGCCCATTCCAGGCCCAGTGTCTCTCTCTCTCCCTGCTACCTGCGGCTCAGACTGTAAAGCTCTCAGCTCCACAGTCATAGCTGCCATGCCCGTGCGAGTGCTCCCTGCTGTGGTGATAAAGGAATAGCCCTCAGACACTAAGCAAGCTCCTGCTGAAGTGCTTTCCTTTCTAAGAGTTGCTACAGTCATAGCGTCTACACATAGCAAAAGAACAGTGACTGAGACAGCCTGTATTTACTCATTCAGTCACTCATTTATTCTGTGTGTGTGTGTGTGTGTGTGTGTGTGTGTGGTATATGAATGTGTGGCAGCCAGAGGTTGATAGTTGTTTTCTTCTACTCACTCACTACCTTATTTTTTTTTAATAACTTTTAATTTTTTTTGAGGTTAATATAATTGCATCACTTTCTCCCTTTCCCTTTCCTCCTCCATTCGTGTACCCCCACTTTGCTCTCTTATTCAAACTCACGGCCTCTTTCTCTTTAATTGTTGTAATCTGTACGTACACATACTCATATACATCATACGCACAGGTGATCTTGCTCCCGCTCAGTCTGTATAATGTTACTCGTGTATATGTTTTCAGGTGTGCTCTTCCCCTGGGAGGACTATTTCTCCTGCTCTCAGCCTTCCTTAGTTGCCTGTAGTTGGTTGGCTAGCTGGGTGAGTTTTCTTAACTCTCATGATACCACATCTATTAGTGTTGCCGTGTTGATGAGGCCACATGGGTGTGGCTTCCCTGACATTTCTAGGAGCTACGTTCTCACAGCAGACTCCCTGCCCCTCTAGCTCTTAGAATTTTTCCACCGCCTCTTCTGCACTGAACTCTGAGCCTTAGAAGTAGGGGTTGTGTTGTGGATGGATCTGTCGATCTGCTGGGATCTACCAGGCTCCATAGCTCTGCGTGGCAGCCATCATTTATGGTTCTCTGCAATGGTCTCTGTCTATTACAGAAAGTTTTCTTGACCATGGGTAAGGACTCCACTTACCTGTGTGTAAAGATAAACGCTTAGAATGTAGTTAGGGGTTATGTTGGTTTAGTGAAGTCGTGGTTGTAGGTTCTCCTCCAAGATGAAAGACTTCAGTGTGGCATGATAACCCTGCCGCTGCCGCCACCACTGCCACCACCCAGCTAAAAGCACTTTTTAAAAAAACAAAACAAAAACTGGGGTTTTCTTCTTTCCGTATTGCCAGTGTTGACCTGCCAGGGAATCGGTGCATGGAGCATGGCTGCTTGCAAATTAAATGAAACGGTCTGTGGCCTGTCCTGCCGCAGCACCTTTCCATACCTGGAGTTATGACAGATTGTAGCAATAATACGGAAAGTGTTTTTCCTTGGAGAAGAACCACACTAGGGGAGGACAGGACCAGAACCCTTTGGGGATATTTAGAGGATGGCAAGAAAGGTTGCAAAAACAAAACACAACACAACGCCTTCTCAGGTTGCTGCTTTCTCATCCCCAGGGAAACTCAGAGCTTCAGTCACAACTGAGGCGTTCACAGCCCTTTATTTTCACTTCGACACAGAATACACAGTTTCACCTTCTAGACTTCTGAGCTGCTCAGTGGTCCAAGTGGTTGGTGTACTGATTATGCAAACTTGCTGATTGCAGTGGTCTGCCCTGAACCTCTTTTACTTTCATGAATTGCTGTTTGTAGAGTGATTTCAACAGAATGTATGGTTTTCAGGGGTTACACAGCCATGCCCTGCATAGTAATATTTCTGTCATCGAGGGCCCTGTATATGATGTGGCCCCTGTAAGATTATATTGTTCAGTAGCTGCCTATACTTTCTGCAAAGTCACTCTAAGGTCTTTGCATAATGGTTGACATTTTTTCAAAGGTGTCTCTGCTGTGACAGCAGACAGAGTTTTACTACTTGTTACCTTTCATTTCCAGGTGAATTCACCTTGGCCTGAATTCTTGACATCCTTGCTAATAAAAAGGAAAATCCAAATAAAGTTTATTTCAGTGAAGCCAAAAATGACGTTCTTTCCAAGGCTGTTGCAGCTTTAAGACACTGTGGCCACAAAGGGACTTGAAGTAGCACGTGATACCAGACAGAAAATGAGTCCCGTGTGGACACAAGTCTACAGTGGCTTGGTTTAGGTGAGCAGGGGTAATGAATGTTCATGCGTACAGATGACTTGGTTCCTTTCAACTGCACCTAACATTGATGTTACACACAGGCAGAGATCACTAAGGTTTTTGTCTTTAGTGTTTACTCACATCTTTTTATCCTTCCTGTGTGTGTGATTAAAGGGAGTTTGCCATGTAAATGACCTGTGCATTGCCTAGACAAAGAAGAAAGTGTGAGCTAGCAGTGGGATGGCTCAGTGTGTGTAGGTGCTTGGTGCCAAGCCTGGGGACCTGAGTTCCATCTCAGAGCCCATGCGATGGATGGGACAACAGTCTCTCACAAGTGGACCTCTGATGGCACACGTATGCTCGTGCACATACAGGCACAAGTATGCAGGCCATAGAAATACCAAAACAAAGCAAAAACTTTGCCATCATGGCCAATCTGATACGTGTGAACAATCTGTGAATCAAATAGAGGCAAATTACAAACATAAAACGGGATAAATACTTGCTCAGAAATGTGTAAACGCGTGTGTGTTATGGAAACACAATTTTTGTATAGCTCAATTATTTTGACAGGGAAGATCTGTTATTTCAAAGTTCTTCAAAATAATACCCAATGTCTCTATTATTGGCATGAAATATTGGCTGTTTCAAAGTGCTTCACAATGATACCTAATTCTCCCACATACTGTATGTTGCAAACAGTACAAAGACAGCCAGGCATGGTGGTACATGCCTATACTCCCAGCACTCATGAGACAGAAGCAGGTGGATTGCTGTGAGTTCACATCTAGTCTCCATAGTGAATTCCAGGCCAGCAAGGGCAATGTAGTGAGGCCCTCTCGCAAAAAGAGAGAAAGACTGTACTGTGTATGCCTTCAGAAGAAAAAAATTACCAGACGTAATTTTCCTGAATACATTTATTTCCTAGAAACATGGACATACACATACACACACACGTGTATAGATATATTAAATACAGATATGCCATCAAAGATATAGGTCAGAGGACATAAATACATAGCGTGGATTGGGAAGAACGTGATTCTATCCAAGAAGGGGAATGGCGCTTATTCAACGTCGACCACGTATCGCTTGCTGTGTCTCACCAAAATACACTTCTACTGCAAACTTCGGACCATAAATTCTCCATGTTTTTGATTTATGGGGGTTATCCAATTCATGTCTTGCTAGATAAAGCCTAAGAATGGGGGGAAAAATCATTACATTTTCTTTTAGGGCTAACAGAAAGCCATGCAATAGATACCCTGCTGGCAGGTCAAAAGGAGCCCTCACTAGCGATCAGAGAGAGCCTCACACCTTTGCCGGTGTGTTGGTTGGCTCCTTTCAGCTCTGCCAGGTACAAAATACCTTAATAAGGACATGTTGCTGACTCTTCCAACACTGGTTTTTTGTTACCTTATTAATGATATTTCTAGAAGTGAGAAATACTCCAGAGATGTGTAATAAAACCTAGTCATGAAATATTGCTTCTCCTGTAAGTGAAAAAAGTTGGTGTTTTGACTACACAGCCACCTCCTGACTATATAAACAGCTTGTCTTTTCCCTAAGCAAATTAGATGTTAGAAGCATCTTTAGAACCTCATATAAAAATAAGCAAGAAAACAATTCAGCTTTGCTTCTTCTATATTAACATTGACTATAAAGAACAAAACTACACTTTAGCAAAAATCACTCTTGAGAAGTAGCAACAAAGTCCCAGCTGGCTTTCAAAGACTCATGAATCAAAGGTTTTCCAAGCTTAGAAATAAGTGCTAAAAATCCCCACCAAATCCAAAGTCATTTTTTACAAGTCTAAATGTGTGTTCATTGCATGCCTGTTGGCCACCAGTTTGCTGCTGGTGTCTTACAAGGTCGGATTTGTTATCAGATCTTGGTCAGCTTGATGAGATGGTTAGGATATAGTGGATTCTTGTTCTCTGTCTGTCTGCCTGTCTGTCTGTCTCAGTCTCCCCCTTGTTCAATTCATCACAAGAAGATTCTTTGTAATAATATTCAAATTGAAATGCAATTATTTTTTTAAATAAAGATTTCCAATTCAGTTTCTACTAATAAATCTTATTTAAGTGGAGAACTAGCACAGGGGTGATTTTAGGTGACGCCACTCATACCTGGGCTTCCTAACTCCTGTCCTAGGCGTTAGGTGTGCTAATCAGCTTCTTAACTGGGCACACCTCTGGATCACAAGTGGAATCTGGTGGTTGGGTGCCAGTTAGCCAAAACTTATTACTTGAGGCCTTGCCAAACTCAAGGAATTGAGCTGGTGCACATTAAACTTCTATGGAAGAAATTTACTATCACACTGGAGATGCGAGTGGAAAACATTTTGGCTTGTGGTTCCTGGATGCAGAGCTGTGGTTAGTGCGCCCACAGGGCACAACAGGCAGCTGTGTTTGAAAAGTAACCTTTACCAAGTCACACAGTGTCCCAGGTGAGGGACGCAGAGTGGTGAGGGGAGCAGGTAATGGGACTGAGCTCCATCAAAGAAAAAAGGTGAAAGAGAGGAAGGAGCACAAGCTGTGAATGTGTAAATGTATGTTGTGTTGAATGTATATTCATATTAACAGTAAAAAACATTCTAAAACGATTTTAAAGCCACATTAAGATGACTAATACATTGGAATGATGACTCAAGGGTTTTGTTTTGTTTCTATGACAGCAGCATAAACCTTGTTATAATACATAGAACATTAAGCTGTGTCTGTTGGATTACATTGTAGCCTACCTGTTATTTTTTATGAAAGATGTGTGAAACCAAAAGAAAAAGGGACAGTCATCGTAGTATTTGGGAAGATTCTAAAAAAGACATGGTTAAAGCAAAAGGTTAGTTTCATAATAAAATTTATACCAAGAACTAACGATTCAAATGAGTTTAAAATTTCTTCTCTTATTCCTGTAAATGCATATTAAGCAATCACATCCATTAAATATGCATCACTTTACAGTTTATAATGATACACTCAAGACACAGAGAAGGCTTCAAGAGATTGCTGCTTTCTCTTGGTGTTAAAAAGGTTAAGGAAAGGTATTTGTATGTTAAACATGTGTTATTTAGTGGGTATTTTCATTTAAAATATAAAGCTCAAACACAGTGCAGTAAAGTAAAATAGATAAACTGAAATTCATTAAAATGTAACTTTTATGCAATAAAGTGACAGTGTTCGAAAAAGCCATAGGAATCATTATTTTTATTAGCCTAACTTTACATCTAGTATATATAAGGATGTATGTATACATATACATATATAGTTTAAATGAAGCTATGCGACAATGTTCTGCCCCAGAGTAATAGACTAAAGAAATCCCAGTACCAGGTGTGAGAAACTGTTTCATACCAAATTATTGGTCGGGGGAGACTGGGAGACTCCCCAAACACTATAGATTATTGCTGTAGCTCTTAGTTGCCTCGCAATCAAAATCCTCATTTAGTTCTTCACAGAAATGGAAAAAAAATCCTAAAATTCATATGGAATCACAAAAACTCTTGGATAGGCAAAGCCAACCAGAAGGAAGGATTACCATTCCAGATTTTAGATATATTACAGAGTGTTTGGGGAGTCCCCCAGTCTCCCCCGACCAATAATACAATAATATATATATTGGTATTATACATTATTGTATGTATGGAACCATATATATATATATGTATATATATATATATATATATATATATATATATATATATATATATATGGAACTATATATGTAAGCAAAAGGAACCAAACCAAGACTCAAACATGAGTACATGTAGCTTCAGTCACATAATATTTGGCAGAGATGCCAAGAGCAGGAGAAAAGATATTCAACAGATGGTGCTGGGTGAACCCTATGTCCACATACTGAAGGATGAAAATCGAACTGTATCTATCGTCTTGTACAAAAACTAACTCCAAATGGATTAAAGACTTAAACATGAAATTTGAAGTGCCAAAAGCGCTAGAAGAAAACAGAGTACCCCACATTATATCGGTGTAGGAAGGGGCTTTCTGTGAGGACTGTGTGCCCAGGAATTAAGGCCAACAACTGACAAGTGGGACTTCAAAACAATCAGCCTGGTGAAGAGGAAGCCCCAGAATGGGAGGGAACCTTTGCCAGCTCTGCATCTATTGAGAATTAATAGCCAGAATATATAAAGAACTCAAAAAAAAAAAAACAGAATAATAATAATGACTCATTTGAAAAATGGACCTGAACATAAACAGGGTCCTCAAAAGGGGAAAGTTTGTCATCCCTAGCAATTAGGGAAGTGCAAATCAAATTAACTTTGAGATTCACTTTTAACTAGTAAGAGTGGGAAAGATCAACAAAATGAGGTGTGGAGAAAAAAGAAGCCTCATTCACTGTTGGTGGAAGTGCAAACTGGTGCAGCCACTATGGAAATCAGTTATACGACCCAGCTATAGCACTGCTTGGCATATGCCCAAAGGACTCTCCATCCCATTCCACAGCAAGTGCTCAGCCATGTTCATGGCTGCTCGTTTATAATAGCTGGGGAATGGAAACAACTTGAATGTCCTTCAATGGATAAATGGATATAGAAAACGTGGCAATCCGCACCTGGACTGTGCAACTCTGTCTCAAAAAAACTAAAACAAAATAAGACTAGAGAAGAACAAGGAGTGTCTTGATTACTCACCGGGGAGAGAAACTTCACTTTCACATCCTCGGACAGAGCTGGACAGTTGTATACATTAATTATTGCTCTGTCTGTCTCAATGTCATGGAATATCTGTGAATAAACATGAAATTCAGAAGTATATGTCCAGCTAATAAGTATAAGAATGAAGTCAACTTGTACTCCCCCAAACACTCCAAATTTATGAAATGTTCTTGGTGTTGCAGCCCAGTCATTTCATATATATATATGAATATATATATATATGTGTGTGTGTATGTGTGTGTGTGTGTATACACACATTTATGCAGATGTTAATCTTTCTATAAAATTGTAACTTGTTTAAAAGAACTCTACTTCTGTTGAAGGCTAGGATGGAATACTGTCAGAAACCACAGTATTAAGTATAATAGAGCTTAACCAAGGAGACATTACTGTTGAATATATGTCATCCGCTTTTTCTTATGTTGAAGCCCTTTTTTAAAAAATGCACTGTGCATGCCATCCCAAACCCATGCCTAATGCTGGTTGTGCAACTCACCTAGGCCGGTGAGTTCTTTGCAACCTCAACCATCTACACCATCCCCAACACTCAGGCCTCGCTCTGTTCGCTCAGCTGTGTGCCAGCCCACCCTGGTAAGTTGTCGCAGAACACCGCTTAGCTGTGCCATACCCCAAACCCAGGCCCAATGTTGCTGTCATAGCCTGCGCACCAGCCTACCTTGGTGAGTGCCCTAGATTACAGTTCACCTGCACAATCTTTACACTTCCGTGCATAGCTTGGGTAGTGTACCGGGCACATCAGCCCAGGCAGACCCAGCCATGAGTCCCATCCAGCCTTTTTTTTTGGAGGGGGGTGAGGTGGAGGGTTTACCACTGAATTGGAATTACCCACACTCCTCTAGTGAAAAGTCAACACTGAAGGGTTGAAGAGATGGCTCAGCAGTCACAAGTACTAGCTATTCTTCCAGAGAACTTGGGTTAGGTTCACTGCAGCTATGTGGTGACTGAAAGCCATCTGGAACTTTAGTGGAAATCTGATGTCCTCATCTGTTTTTTCTGAGCACTGCATGCACATGGCATACATGCATACAGGCATGCAAAACCCCCACACTTAAAATACCGACTAGCCAAAGAATTGGCCCACCAACTCTTCATAGCTGATCTAGAATCAACCAGGCTTAGGCAAGAACAACAAAACCAAGCTTCCACTAAACGGAGCAGACTAGAATCCCACATCTGATATAAAACCAAAGAAAGAACTCCACATGCCCAGGTTATTTTTTTCAAGAATACAACAAATACGAAAGAAATGTTCTCCGATGAGAATTACCTAGATAAAACCAGGATACAGAACTTGAGGTAACAATGATTATGATCAAGAAATCAGAGAGATTAAAGAAGTCACAAATATCTCAATAAATGTAAACTCTAAGTTAAGTCCAAGAAAACACAAACATGGCTGAATGAAATGACAAGGAAAAGTCAGGATCTAAAAAACAAATACAGTAAAATGATAGAAATACTGAAGAAAACCCAAGATGAACTGGAGATGCAATTGAAAAACACAATAACCCAGTTAGAAAACTCAGGGGAAAGCAATACCAGTAGAATGGACCAAATAGAAGATAGAATATCAAGACTTGAGGATATAGTAGAATTGGACCATTCAAAAAAAAAAAAAAAAAAAAAAACAAGAACAAAAACCCACAGAGGAATACGAGGAATTTTAGGACTCCGTGAATTATGGGCATAGATGGAAAAGAATCCCCAATGACATAGACCAGGTTTTCAACAAGATCATAAAAGACAATTTCCCCCAATTAAGGAGCGACATATACATAAAGATATAGAAGCAAGTGGAACACCTAATACACAGGATCAAAACAGAAATTTAGTGTGCATATTGTAGTTAAAATAGAACTTACAGGACCAGAGGGAGGGTATTGAAAATGCCAGAGAAAAACCATATGTCACACACAAAATAGAAACAGAATAAAAGTTGAATTATCAATGTAAACTCTAAAAGCCAGAAGATTCTGAGCGATGTACTTCAATCGCTTAGAGAACACAGATGCCACCAGATGGTGCCATGCAAGCTTCCAAAGGAGGAAGGCAACCAACAGTCCTACCCAGCTATGACGCCTATGAACCACATAAATGATGGGCATGGCGCAATAACCCTAAGGCTGCAGTGGCACACGTGCCTTAGCAATAACCAACAGCTTTTTACTTGGACTTAAGCCCGATTCAACAACAGGGAAAACATAACTGGTACTGGAAACCGAGATAACTACTCAGTGCTAATAAAGTCATGCAACATTGTGGAAGAGGGAGCAGAAAAACTGCAGCAGCCAAAAAGATCAGGGAGTTTGCTGTGATACTATGTCTCCTAGTAATGCCAGAAGTTATACCCGTAAAATCTCACCAATATGACTGGCTAAACGTGAGCTGAACAAGGATGACGCTGATAGACATGCCAAAGTGGACAGAGAAAAGCCCACAAGTCCTCAACCCTACACAAATAATTCTAGGCAACAGAGGAAGGTAGGGGAGGGAGAGGTGGCCTTCTCGAGGGAAGAGCACACAAACTGGTTATTCAACACCAAACTGTCATCCCTGAAAACATGCACATAGATAACATTATATAGACTGAGCAGGTTTTACTTAGGAATATATACATACACAACTATACGTATGTCCACGCAATAACAATGAGAAATAGAGGTCAGAAATTGGAGTGAGAGCAAGGAGGGGCAAATGGAAGGGTTTCAAGAAATGGAAGAAAATGGAGAAATGTTGTAATTATATTAAAATCTCAAAAGTTAAAAAAGTCAAAATAAAAAGAACACAGGTGTCAACACAGATTACTATACCCAGCAAAATTATCAGCCATAACTGAAGGAGAAAAACACTTTCCTGATATAAATAGACTAAGATAATTCATGCCCTACAAACTAGCTCCACAGAGAATACTGGAAACAGCACTTCAGATTGAAGGGAGGAATAAGAGGGTAAAGAAAAAGCCTGCCAGGGATCAGATAGTGTTAAGACATCATCAGAGAAGCTTCCTCCTGCAACAGATGGAAACAAATACAGAGACCCACAGCTGAACAATGTGCAGAGAATGAGAGATCTTGGAACACTCAGTCCTAAATGGGACTTTATCAAATGGGAAAGGGTCTTTATCACACCCCTTCTCTGAAGCTCAGAGAACCATGCAGTAGAGGAGACAGAAAGACTGTAAGAACCAGAGGGGTTTATTCTATATTATATGTCTAGTATCCACTTATAAGTGAGTATATACTGTATGTGTCTTTCTGCTTCTGGGATACCTCACTCAGGATGATCTTTTCTAGTTCCCACCATTTGCCTGCAAGTTTCATGATTTCCTTGTTTTTAATTGCTGGGTAGTATTCCATTGTGTAAATGTACCACAATTTCTGTAACCATTCCTCCATTGAGGGACACCTAGGTTGTTTCCAGGTTCTGGCTATTACGAATAAAGCCACCATAGACATGATTGAGCAAATGTCCTTGTTGTGTACTTGAGCATATTTTGGATATATTGGCTAGGAGTGGTATAGCTGGATCTTGAGGAAGCGCTATTCCTAATAATACAGGATAAATGTACAAAAACCTGTACACCTGAAGAAGCTGAGCTAGGAGGAGGACCCTGGGTAAGATGATCAGTCCTCACTCAGAAAGGCAAACAGGACGGACATTGGAAATAGGAGAAAACAGGAAACAGGACAGGAGCCTACCACAGAGGGCCTGTGAAAGACTCTACCCAGCATTGTATCAAAGCAGATACTGAGACTCATAAACAAACTTTGGGCAGAGTGCAGGGAATCTTATGAAAGAAGGGGAAAATAGTAAGACCTGGAGAGGACAGGAGCTCCACAAGGAGAACAACAGAACCAAAGTATCTGGGCCCAGGGGTCTTTTCCGAGACTGATACTTCAACCAAGGACCATTCATGGATTTAGCCTAGAACCCCTGCTCAGATGTAGCCCATGGCAGCTCAGTCTCCAAGTGGTACCTAGTAAGGGGAACAGGGACTGTCTCTGACATGAACTCAGTGGTTGGCTCTTTGACTGCCTCCCCCTGATGGGGGAGCAGCCTTGCTAGGCCACAAAGGAGGACAATGCAGCCAGTTCTGATGAGATCGGATAAGCTAGGGTCAGATGGAAGGAGAGGAGAACTTCCCCTATCCGTGGACTTGGAGAGAGGCACAGGAGCAGATGAGGGAAGGAGGGTGGGATTGGGAGGGGAGGAGAGAGGGGGCTACAGCTGGGATACAAAGTGAATGAACTGCAATTAATATAAAAAATTAAAAAATTAATTAAAAATGAAGCAGAGGGGGTGGAAACAAGGCCTCCTAAATACAGCAGGACTGACATATGTCCTCACAGAGACTGTGGTAGCGTGCATAGGGCCCACATGGTTCTGCCCCAGATGGGGGTCCCGGCTGAGAGAAGGGGTGGATAGAAGCCCACATCCCTAACCCAGAAGCTCTTTTCTACTGATAAGCACTTGCAAATGAAGTCTCACGTGCTATACAAACCACTCTTCAGGCCAGGCCCATGCAGTAGACGGCCAACACAAAATGAACTGAATGGCATCTTTGGAGGTTGTCTCATAATGTTATGCCAGGGTATTTATTTATTTGTTTGTTTTTTAACGTTACTGATCATTTGCTTATGTTTTATGGCTTCCAGTTTACTGTTTTTAGGGGATTCCTGTGTGTACAAATATGTGTGTCTCTGTATCTATATGTATTTCTGATGTTTTTTCTTTGGCTCTTTTTTCCTCTGTTTGTTTTTCCTATTCTGATTTATTTGTGCCTGTTTTATCTTATTTCGTTATTGTTCCTTACATGCCTGTTCATTTTCGAAGGAGAGACAGAAAGGGTGTGGATCTGGGTGGAAGAGGAGCTACAGAGAATCTTGGAGGAGTTGGGGAAGAGGAAACTGTAATCTGAATGTATTGTGTAAAAAACCATTTTCAATATAAGAAAAGAATTTTTAAATTAAATTAAAAAGTTTTAAATTAAGTTAAAAAGAGGTATGTTCAAAAATAAAGGGCACACTTGAAAAATGGGTACAGGGAAAAAAAAACAAATCTACAACCGACGGAATACAAAATAGAAATAATAATAGAAATCACAAAAAAGTGATAGCAATGAACACATTTTTTTTCCAGCAGTAGCTTTAGATATAAATGGCCTCAACTTCCCAATCAAAAGACATAGTCAGTTGAATGAAGAAACAAAATGTGTCTTGGAATTGTTTACAAGAAACCCCATTCATCGTCAAGGACAAGCTTAGAGTGAAAGGATAGAAAAAAATCATAAAGAAATAGGACTAGGGAATAAACAACTGTTGGCATCTTCACATCTGACAAAATAGGCTTCAAACTAATCAGAAGATATAAAGAAGGTTATGTCATTCTGATCAAGAGAACAACTAGCCAAGAATACATTAATAGTCACCAAATTCCCAGGCCCCCAATTTGTGTGTGTTTCTGTGCACACACATTACTACTGAACATCAAATCACAGATTAACCCTCACTCAGGAATAATAAGCGACTGATTTCAGTAACTCACTTTCTCTAGGACAAAGATAATTTGGACAAAAACATATACAAAGAAACATTGGAAATTTTATGTGTGACATCAGACATCTCAAATGGACCTAACAGGCATGTACTGAGTATTCTACCCAAACGCCAAAGAAATGTATTTGGCTCAGCAGCCCAAGAAGATTTCTCTAAAATAGACTGCATACTGGGTGCGATACAAAACAAGCCTAAACCAATACAAAAACGATGAAAATAGCTGTATATCCCCTGTGGCCGCCACACAATGAAAGCTTCAAATCAACAGCAAAACAATCTCTAACAACAACAAAAAGCTCATAGAAATTAACACGTCACTAAGTCAAAGAAGACATCAAGAAAGGAGTTGTTTTTTTTTTTTTTTCCTGAAACTAAATAAAAATGAAACCACAAAACAACAAAACTCTGAGTTATACTGAAAGCAATACTAAGGGTAATTTGACATGTAGAACACACACACGTACACCAAGCAAGCAAACAAACAAATAAATAGAGCCAAAGAGCGGTTCTTGGCTTTGACCATGGACACACTGATTGCCCACCTGTTTTTCTTCCTATGGCTTTTCTCAGTGAGACAGTATTTTAGGGTGAACAGTTTAGGACTTTATACGCTACACCATAGAAGGAGGAGACCGTGAGGAGACTTGTGGAAATTTAGATTCAGTGAGCAAGGGTCTGATTAGTAGTAGAGAGGAATAAAGGGGGAGAGGACTTGGGGAAAAGTTTCAAGGGCATAACAAGAAGAATTACCAGATGGCTGGATTTCAGGACCATATCAAAGAACCAAGGACAATATCACATGTTAAAATTCAAGTGGAAAAATACTGGTGTCCTATAGCGAAGCAGGGGAAAGCTCCCTTGACAGATGGATTTTAATCACGAGGGTGAAGAATGCCCTCACTACAGATTTTGCAGCTACCACACATGGAATGCTCATGAACATCCATAAAGTGAATGAAAGAACAAATCATAATATAAAGAAAGGGAACGCAGGGCACAACTGGGAGCAGAGTATTTGCAGACAAGAACTGAACACTCAGAATCAGGCATGAGTGGATTCCCTCAGCTAGGAGAGGCCAATAACAAGCAAGAACTCTTCATGGCAGGATGATCGTGTTAGTAACGGAAGAACCTGAAATAAAACCTGGGATGAAATTCTCTTACTTTACTTCCATGAAAAAATCTTTCCTACTGTTTGTCTTAGTCACTGTTCTATGGCTGTAAAAAGACACCAAGGCCAACGTAACTCAGGAAAAAAAAACCATTTGATTTGGGGCTTGTTTCTAGTTTCAGGTTAGTCCATGATCAGTATGATGGGGAGCATGGCACTGGAGCAGTGGCTGAGAGCCCTACATCCTAATAATGGGGCAGGAGGTAGAGAAAGCAAGACTTGTCTTGATATGGTCTTTTAAAACCTTAAAGCTCATCCCCAGTGACTCACCTTCTCCAACAATGCCACACCTCCCAATCCTTCCCAAACAGTTCCACCAACTGGGCAGAATATGAGCCTATAGGGTCCATTCTTATTCAAACCACAACACTGTTGCCTCCAAGGCCTATCATCATCTTAGGCATTTTTCAACATGTTATCTAAACATTACCTCTTGGCTCCCACTGCTTGAAGGAAAGAGGTTTCTTTCTAGTTCATGAACTCTGTTTTTCAGGATGCCCATCCACAGAATATCTGAGTAACAATATCACTAAGGACATAACTATGTCTACAGATTTCTGGGCCTCATTCCAGATTTTCTGACTCAAAGTCTGGTTGAACAACCTAGGTTGTATAGCTCTAGAAGCTTTAGGTTATTTTTTTTAAAGTGACTAAAAACAAGATAAAAATGGCTAAAGCTAACAACTTAAATATGACTGTAAATTTAAAACCTTGATAGATTGCCAGGAATGCACTCATGCATTTTGGGAAAGTGAAAGACAAAGTGCCTTGCAAAACCCACTTTGAACAGTGAGGTGAAAAGCAAGCTCTGCTTTGCAGCCAAAACAAGCATCACCAAATTTCGGCTGGTAGTCGGAGAGCAACCAGCACCTCATTTTGGCTTGGGGAATGAACATGCTACTTTGGTGTCAAGTTTTCAGCTAAACAGCAGGACTAGGAAATTTGCTTGATTGATAGTGTAGTACCCGTTGTGTAGGTATTGAGACCTAAGCTTGGATCCTCAGCACCATGTTGGTTGCGGTACTTGGTTCCTGTAGTCCCAGCATTGGGGATGTGGAGACAGACAGGAGGATCCCTGGTCTTGCACCAGGATCAGTGAAAGACCCAGTCTCAACAAGTAAGATGGGTAGCTCAGGACAGTGGTGCACCCCTGTGATCCCAGCACTCAGGGAGGCAGGTGCAGGCAGATCTCTGTGAGTTTGAGGCCATCCTGGTCTACAAAGTTAGTCCAAGATAGCCAAGGCTACACAGAGAAACCCTGTCCTGAAAAACTAACCAACCAATCAACCAATTACCCAACCAACCAACCAATTACCCAACCAACCAACCAATTACCCAACCAACCAACCAACCAACCAACCAACCAACCAACCAACCAACCA